TGTGTGTGTGTGTGTTTGTGTGTGTGTGTGCAGTGTGCTGTTCAAGCGGGCGGGGATTGAGGGGGTGGCGCGTTTGGAATTGGTTGCTCCACATTTTGGAAATGGCGGCTTGATGGATCTCCACGACGGTTTTTGGCTACGACGGTAGGATGACTGGATCGATTGGACAGGGCACGGATGGTGGGAGTGGGATGGGGGTGGTGGATGCGCTGTGTGCGGGGACGATGATGGGGGAGCTACCGGCTAGTGATCCGATCTCGATTCTTGTGGCGAAGCATCTGCCGGCGCACGCCCGACCCGTACGCGATCTCTCCGGCACCTGGCACGCATCCAGCCTCGACACTACCGAAGTTTCATGCGACGACATTGTTCAGGCGGCGAGTACGGGCTGGTGGCGCAAGATTGCGGTGCTTGCACGAAGCACGCTCGAGCGCCGAGGGATGGAGTTGGACGAGGTGTTGGAGTGGTGGACCGTGCGACTTTATGCGCTTGCCCGACTAAGGCTCCACTCGATGCTGCGGACCGAACTCGCAGCCGTTTGGGAGGCACTTGAAGGCCAACAAGTGCCATTTGGACTATTGGTGCTGCGGGCGAGCGAGGCCAAGTTTAGAGGCGATACAAGGAGCACTGTGGAACAGTATACGGTGCTTATCCACGTGTGCAAGAAAAAGCAAGGAGAGGCATGGAGGCGCAGGGCAGTAAGGCTGGGCATCATGCTCGCGTTTACCCTGGCCGAGACGAGGGATTATAATGCCGCCATCAATGTGCTCGATCCGTTGGTTGAAAGGGCTCTAGCGGAGGAGGAGCAAGGTGTGCAGTTGGTCGTGGTGGCGGCAAGGATCTGGATCCAGGCGGGAGATGTCGAGCATGCACTCGAGCTCGTGCAGCGCGCTGAACAACAGCTGCCCAAGCAGAGCGCTGCTCATGCGCACATCAGGCAGGCCAAGATGGTCATCGCCACCATCAGCGGCGACTTTGCGCAAGACGACGAGGGCGAGCGAGTGGTGGCGACACTCAACCGCGCAGTGGTGCAGTTCTACCGCGCCCAGCTCGACGCGGCCATCGCCACACTCGATGCACAGCTCGAGGCCGAACCGGCGCTGGTGGCGAGTGCGGACGCGGTGGTGTTCAATACGGCTACGCTCTACGAGCTGGCGGCGGGCGACGAGACTGCGGTGGTGGGCAGGAAGAGACAGCTGCTCGCCACCATCGCCCGATGGGCCGCCGAACCTGGACCCACGAGCTCAGCGTTCAAATTGTAAATTCTCCTCCTCCCCACAGATCACCATGACCAGACCAGAGTGTGGATAATGCGGTGAGATTCGGATACAAGTACAGGTAACGATGGATCAATCGAGTTTTTCAACTGCCAAACCCACCAAGTGTCAGTACAAGGGCGGATGTTGCGTGGGAGAGTGGGGAGAGGCTTACGTTGGTCGAGTCGCGCGAGGACGACGTGTTTGCTGGTCTCTTCGATCTCGCCTGCGAGAAAGACCTCGTCGAGGATGGCGTATACCTTGTAAAAGTTGAAGACCAGATCGAGCTCGCACACGTTTCCAAAGAAGGCATCTGCCCGCACGCATACCGGGTCAGTCAGGTTGAAGCGAGATACAGAATAGCAAGGGGGGTTGCGTACCTAGGACCTCGACAAAGAGGTGGATGGCTTCGAGATACGCCAGCTCGTTGTCGTTGGCATCCACGCATACGCAGAAGAACAACCCCGCATACCGGCGGTACACGAGCTTATAGTTGCGGAACTAAAACCCCCCACAAGCCAACAAGTCAGTACCGATCCAAGAAAGAGTTGAGAGGGTGGGAAGGGCGATCGGGCTCACCTCGACAAAGTTGGACTGGTACTTTTGATCGCGTGGTGCGATGAGGCGGTGTACCTCTCCACGCAAGCGGATCTTTTCGTCGTCGTCGTAGGGAACGTAGAACTTGCTCAACCGCGTCTTGCCCTGGCGGTTCTGCACGAGGATGAAGCGGATCATGGTCGGTAGTGCCAGCCCCCAAGCAGCGGCGGCGTAACGAGAAGCGAGGGAGACGGTGGAGGTGATGCAAGTGTCGTCCACTGTGTGGGAGGCGAGAGTGTCGCAAGAAAGGAAGCAGCGCGAAGGAAAGCGGCAGAAGGGGAACAAAGGGGATCGGGAAGAGCAGGACCCTGGATGAGTGTGGAGTGGCAATGCACGGCGGACAGGCGATGGCGGCGCTGAACCGTGCGAGTCGGCGACGATTGGGGTCTAACAGCGATACTATTTTTCAAGAAGAAATCGGCCCGAAATCGGCCAGCTCAGCCGTTTTGGCGCTGCAAACCAGGCCGCACAGCGTGATGAGGTGGAGCTGCCAATGGCAAGCGGGGGGGCGGCGCATTCGCATTGCACGCTCCGACCAGTGCACACACGCACGCACCCACTCTTTGCGCTCCCTCTTGCACTTCCACCATCCTCTGCGTTTGCTGGCACAACATGAACGCAGGACCACAGCAGGGCCCACCGGCACCTACAGCCGAGCAGCTCGCCATCACCGATGCTGGCTTCCAGCACGTTCCGCTCGCGCTCGATGCCGAGACGGGCACGCTGCACACGCCCGTGCCGGACCTGGATCTGACGGTGCTCAATGCGCTCATCCGCTCGATCAAAGGTCTGCCCCCCAACGTCGCCTTTCCACCCCCGCCCAACGCCATTGCGCCCCAGCGATCCATGGCGATCAACCAAGCCAAGGAGCAGGGAAACACGGCCTACCGCAACAAGGACTGGGCCGAGGCAGTCAAGATGTACACGCTCGCCATCGACGTGGCCGCAAGCAGGCCGCTGTGGGAGGCGAACCAGGTGGCCAGGGACGAGCTCAGCCTGTGTCTCGCCAACAGGTCCGCCGCGTTTGCCAGCTGCGAGGACTGGATCGGCGCATTGTGCGATGCAGAGGCGGTGACCAAGCTCAAGAAACCCTGGGCAAAGGGCCATTACCGAAAGGGAAAGGCGCTGGTGGGGCTGCAGAGGTGCAAGGAGGCAAGAGAGGCGTTCGAGTTGGGCCTCCAGTTCGATCCGGATAACAAGGACCTCAAACAGGCGTTGGCCGAACTGCCCGCTCAAAAGAACCAGCTCTAGTCGCCCCAGCCACGGCGGTGTTCAACGTGTTGCTTTAGCGTATTGCCGCCTGCTTTGTACTTTTATTCTCTCTCCCTTTCTCTCTCTGTGTCAATTGCACGTCGTGTCTCTCTCATTCCCCCTGCTCATTTGAGATGCGGCTCGTGCAACGCACGCTCGTGTTGGCACAGTGAGTCTTGGGTCAAGTCGATTCGAGCATAGGGCACGAGTGAATCGCAGAGTGCAATGCCGCACGAAAAGCGAGGACTTCTACGACGACGACTCCTGCTGGGTCCCGTGGTATGGGTGGTCGACCAGGTTGAACCACGGCAGCGTACCTGTCGAATCGCAAAAGTGGTCAGTATAGGATGTATGTAAAGTGGAATGGGTGGTGTGGTGCTTACTGAATTTCAACTGGGAGAAGGCCGAGTTCCTGTGGGCGACGCCCTGCATGTACTCGCTCAGGTCGCTCTTGCTGGGGTCGGTACCGGGTGGCTTGACGCCCGCATCGAGCGCGGCCTTGTGAGCCTGCTGCTCGATCTCGTTCTCGCGCCAGCCCCAGAAGCGGAACGAGGAGCGCTGGTAGGCGAACAGGAATCCGCCGCACAGACCCAGGAACGACGACAGACGCAGCGCACTGCCCAGCCCGCGCTTGGGTCGAGTCGGATCAAACAGCTCCATCATATAGATCGCCGAAGGAAATGCGGCCGTAGCCCCAGCCCAGGCGGCGTAGTCCGAGCCCCGGAAACTGCGCACGACGCGCGAAAAGTGCGGATCGGCATCGATGAGTGGGTATGGCGTGTCGAGCTGCTTGACGGCTGTCGGTAACCCAAAGCACAAATCACGGTCAGCAACGGCTCTGCGTCAGAGTGGCACGATGCCAAACACTTACGCATGATGATGATGTGTGCTGGCTGTTGATCAAGAGATGGTAGCAACGACGACGAGATGGTGACAAGCTCGCAGCCGTCAGTTAGTTGCCCATCGCCTTCGGCTGCCGCTGCCATTTCGCACGGAATCAAATTCCAACGCTCAGGTCATCAGGTCATGCTGAGTCAGCAAGCGCCCCTCAAAGTTCTCGTCTCGAGCTTTGGAAGCTGTGAACCCTTTTTCTTCCAGTCCGCCGAGAAAAAGTGGAGCAGCAACGCCACCACCACCACCATCTTTCCAAACAAACCATGCTCACGCGAGCTTCGAGGTGGTCTCGCAGAGCAGCCACCAGCTTGGCATCGCCGGCTGCTGCGGCCACACACCCCCCGTCCACCTCCAACGCCGTGGTCAGCCTCGAGCCGCGCCCGCGTACAACCGCCGCACCAACCACCGCAGTGCACCGTCTGCTCAGCTCAAGTGCAGCGCGCAACTTGCCCCGACAGCTGACCCGTCGAGCCGCACCGGAACAGCAGCAGTACGAAGACGAGCGCGACCATGCAGAAGGAATTACACCCTCCAAGGTGAGCGACGAGCTCAGCGGCACCGACCCGGCCATCCCGTGGTTCCTCCAGACCGAGACCGTAGATCCACCCGCAGAGCCTCAGACCGAGGAATCAACATCCGAGCCAGTCGACACGGCTGCCTCCAACGCCTTCTCCTACATTCCGCTGCAGCCCAAGGTCGAAGTGCCCAGGGCGGTGGCCGCGCTCAAGGCGCATCTCGTCGGTGGGCCGTCGGCCAACTTGATAGCACGCCCGAGCCAAGAGCAGGACCAGCTCACGCCCATCACGCTCATCCACCCCGCCTCGCTCTCGAGGGACCCGAGCGCCGACGCATATGGAGACAACGACTGGATCGTCGTGGTGCAGGTCAAGAGCAGCGCAGCCGGCAGCGTGCGGCGTGTCGCTCTGGACATCGGCAGGTTCCTCAAGCACCTCCGTCCGCCCGCAATGGAAGCCCAACTCGACCTCGACGCGTTCCTCGGCCCTGGTCCCTCGGCCCCCCGCTACCATCCCCCCCCCCCACCAACCCC